GAAAAAATTTTATTAAAGGAGATTACAAAATGCATATTCTATTCATTAAAAAACAAAAAGAACCCTTAACCTCCAATTTATTTTAATTTTAAAGAAATTCTAATCAGTTTATACTAAAAATCAAACTTAAGATAGAGAAATTGAGGTGAGTAGTAAAAATATGACAGAGAACAAGGGAGACAAACAACCTTATACCCCTCAATAAACTCATAGACATCTACCCATAACAGCATGCTGTCAAACTGATATTCAGAATGAGAGCCCTGAATCAGCAAAAAATGACTGGAATATGTTTAGGAAACAGTACTGCCTTGTAAAGTTTATCACTTTAAAAAAGTAAAATAAGAAAATATTTTAGTATAAATCCAATATTCTAATTTACCTAGCAGGTAGCTCCCTGACAATGTCAGATGGATGAGAAAGTACTTCAGGAAAATCAGTGGCCATTTCACATACTGTTCTCATAACAAAGTCACAATTTTCTTCTAAACTATAGTGCTGATTTCCTAATTTATAAAAATATATAATTACAAATAACAGTCTAGTGTACGCCATGATCACAGATTTTAAAGGTTCATTCAAGGGTACTAACATTTGCGAATTTTCATTATGAAGCTAATATTGTCAATTCTCATCACAGGAAGGGCTGAATAGCATAACTGACAGTAAATTATAAATAAACAACTTGACTTTTACAAACTTTTAGACTGGAACATGAACCAGGTGATAGAAACAAGTTTAAAGTACAACCACTTCTAAAGAGGAAGGATTTCCTGCTCTCCAGACCAAACCAAGAGAATCCTGCCCCAAAGTAGGTGCTGTCACCTGAAGACAGAGACGGAGAATTATCTAAAAGTACCTAACTCCCCAAAATGTGCACCAGGGTTAAGGCCAAGTTTTCTGACAGAAATCAGGGTTGTATTACCTAAGCAAGAAAGAATAGTTCCACAGCATACTGAAGTTTCAGCATTCACTGAAAAAAACTGCATTCACTGAAAAGTGAGGCTCCCCTAAATCACTATATTCGACAGGTCTACAGCAGTAAACATATCATGTTCAGAATTAATGTTATTTTCATGCTATTCTGGGTGTAATCAAACTAACAAATTAATTACTAAAAAATAACTCAATCTAACCAATTTAAATTTTAGGAACTGCTTATTACTGGAACTCTTCTACATTGCTGGTGGTATGCAAAATGGTACAGCTTGCTCTGGAAAACAGTTCAGCAGCTTCTTAGAAAGTCAAACATACACTTGCCATATGACCCAACAATTCTAATACTAGAAACTTACCCAAGAGAAATGAAAAGTTAGATTCACCCCAAAATAAATAAATAAGTAAACAGCACACACAAGTTTGTGGCAGCTTTATTCATAATCGCCAAAAGCTGGAAACAAGTTTTTAAACTGAGGAATGGATAAACATGCTGAGGTATACACATGTGGTGGAATAGTGCTCAACAGCAAAAGGAAACTACTGCTACATGTTGCATGGATAAATCGCAAATACATTCTGCCAAGTGAAAGAAGCTAGATTCAAAAGGCTACATATCACATTATTCAACTTATATGAAATCTGGAAAAGGCAAAATTACAGAAACAGAACAAATCCGTGGTTGCTACGGGCTGGGAGTGGGAGAATGGGTTGACTTCAAAGAGGCAGCATGAGGGAATATTTTGGGGTGACGGAAGTGTTAGGTACGTTGACTGTGAGATGGAATAAATTTCAGTGTGTGAAAATTTAAAAACAGAAAAACTGTTTATCTAATATAAAAAATACCTTACAACAAAATCATAATTAACTGAAATGCTTGAAAAAAATGGAATTTTTCCTTTAACTAAATCTCTGGCTAGCCCATAAATACATTTAATTTCAACTACTGCTATTTAAAAAAATCTTTCTATAATGTATTTCTCTACTTTTAAGCCTGAGTAAATAAGTCAGCTGCTTGTCTTTAATACTTTATTTAAATTAGGGCCAATTTATTTATTTGAAATTTGTCTCATATAACTATGATGCAAACTAAATTGAATTGGAGTAAGCATGGTACCTCGGGAGGCATTTAATCAAGGTCCTTCCATGTTAAAATTCTCCCTAATAAAAAGATGAAATGGTTAATCCATTCATTCAACAAATAAGTAATCATTAGAGGCCTATTACGTGCCAAACAGGAAATACAAATGGCAAACAAGACAATCACAATCCCTGACACAATAGCTTAATGCCAACAATAATATCAAGTATGATATTCACAACAAAGAATTACAGTGCTTTCAGAATACACAGCAAGTACATAGAACCTAACCATGTAAGTTCTAAATCTCCTATTAGGATCTATATCTTAAAATGCCTGGTATCTTGGTGAACTCAAAAACACAGCTTAAAAAGCATGCACCACATTGTTCACCATCCCATTACCTCAGCATCCAAAGACGAAGAGAAAGCAAAGACCACATACCCTGAACACTGGCCCTTCACAAGCAATACAATAATCACTCCCTTAGAGTAAGGTCCTTTTTAGGGAAATAGCAGAAGATGGAGATCTTTCCAGCAAACAGGACATGTTTCTGATTCAGGATACTGTAACTATCAACTTCTCTGGTTGAGGGATACTATTTTAAGGGGCAGCGGAGGATGGGAGGTAAGTAATAAGAGAAAAGAAAAAAAACAGAAGATAAGAAAAAAAAAGAAGCCAGAGTGTCAAGATTTCTGCAGTGACGTCTTAAAAACAAATTAAGGAAGTTTAAGGAAACTAAAACGGAGGCATTGCAACCACACCCCTGTTTCTTTCTGTTATGAAAAAGGAAGCCAAGATATGTAAAGTGCTGCCTGCAGGTGCTGTGGCATGAAGTTACCATGTGCAGAGGCAAAATTATATAACCCCAAGGACTACAGAGAGTATATGATGAACACTCAGCTATACCAAAGTTACCCCAAACATTTTCCACCCCAAGCATCCCAATTACACAATGCTCCAGGGGCCACAGTGGGGCCCACGGGAAGAGTATTCATAACTTCTGTGTCAAAAAGCAGAAAAGCTTTCAACAACCATTAAAAAAAGAAACACAGATTAAAATAAAGTGCCTCTTGGAATGTATCTATTTACAGGGGAAAACAAAACAATCAAAAGAAATTTACCAGCATCTTATTAAAACTCCATCTCAGAGGAGTAAGATTCTGAGTAGTTCCTATCAAGAAACAAAGAGTAGCAGCCAATTAACTGAGTCCCACAGCTCCTTTTCTCAAGTTCTCACAGCAAACATGTTTTGGGATTCAGAATTTTAGAGCACTTTTGACAAGTGACACCATGTATTTTTTAACACACCTAGAGAAGGTAGGGATGGCACACAAGAAAGCCTAGACAGTCCACACCATAATCTCTTACTATTTCTGCAGTGCAACCTACACATCCATGAAATAAAGACACAACAGTTCACAGTAGGTTTTGTGTAAAAAATCAATTTGTGCCAAATGTACAAGAAAAACTTATTTTCAAAGAGCTTTGGATGTTAGAGGTGTTGATAAGGAATTACAGTCTTAAAGAGCAGTACCCATTACCTCATTACTAATTTGTGTGTGTAAAATGTTACCATTAACCTCTCCATCGTGTGCTGATTTTACTGTACAATTTTGGTGAACTTGAAATAGTTCTAAAAGTCTTCCATAGGGTCACACACTAACATGCCCTCCAAACTCAATCCATTTTTAAATTTCTGTAACACAAGTTCTCTTACTAGGGCAGTTTAGAAATCTAATCCTTGACACGTACAGAAGAACTGCCAAATCCAATTTTGCCACCATGTAAAAAATGTTCACTGAATGCAATTTAACATATTAAACTCCTCATAAAATGGCTTAGTCTCATGTCCTCACAAGAAAATTGCTGCAACTAGTAAGGGTGCTCCTGACTAGGGAGCAGCATCCTATGAGGCACAAAAAGGACACTGACTTGTCATAAACGACAAGCTACACTAGCCATAAAACCCTATTATCAGTGCATTTGTATGTACACACTTACTGACCATATACAACACAGACTGAAAGTGTACTTTAACTGAAGAAAAAAAAATTCCCGCAGAGGGAAATACAGATATAGTTCCTCATCAACAATGATATAAAAGAGTAAAGTGGTAGAAAGGCAGTCATACTAAATAAACATCAAGGCTCCTACTGTCCTTATGTTCTATGAAAAATACAACTCAATGATACTATAGATATGATAAATATAATCTAAAACTAAAACACTTTTGACTAGCAACAATTCTGCCTCCTTATAATAACTTTAAATATGTAGTTGTTTTTACCACCTAGATTTCTTAAGATTTCTAGGAGCATCTGAATTGATGCCTTGGTTTATTCTTGATATATTTCCCTTCAACAAATTTTCCAAACTTCACAAATCCCCTAATTTTGGAATTGTACTTATCAAAAAACTGCTAATGTGCACTGAATATAGTAGACTCTCTAAGGGTTCTGGGTATGAAACTATGAAAAGAAGTCATTTCATTAACCTGGTCCTCTTGCAAATATTTTCTATTTATTTCTTGTCTCATTCTCACATCCCCATCCTCAATTAAAAAGTCAACTTGAAAGAAGAGAGGAAAATATGTGGATAAAGAGGAAGAATCAGTCATCTTTCAACCCTGAAAGCACCCTGGAATCACCCGTGGAAATACAAAAATATAGCAATGACCCGGCCCCAGATTCAGACATAAATTAGCATGGGTAAAATCCCTATGTCTGTCATTTTTTTTAAGCTGCCCAGAAAATGGTAATGTGAAGTCAGGGCTGAGAACCACTGGTATAAGCAGCCTTCTCCACAAACCCTTTTCTCTTATTTTTAGTAAATGGTAGCACTCACTGCCCTCTGGCAAAGACTGCAAGGACTATCTTTAAAGTTGTTCATTTTTCTTCCCTCATTTACTGTCACAGAAAACAATTTACTAATTTTCACTTGAAAGATTTTAAGCAAGAGCATATAGTAAAATTTATGTTACCTTTTTGGATATTCTCATTCTCAATGTCCAGGATTTTATTTCTCAATCACTCTTCAAAAAACAACCTTCATCAGCAACGTATTTAGATAAAGAGCAAAGCATACAATAAACACACAACACACATTACAGTTTTCAACTTTCAACAGATTATCAGAGAATACTCAAAAGAATCAATTTAAAGGCCTGATTACATTTTGATATTTTAATTAACTATAAATATTTTCAGAATCTCTCATATATAAATATTAGCCACAATATGCCCTGATACTCATGACAGAAAAAGAACTCAGTAAATAATCTACCATTTTTTAAATGAAAACTGACATTATAAAATTCTACATCTTTCAGATTTACACTTTCCTTTGTTCTTTTTTTTTCTCCTTTGGGGTACATATTGTTTTCAGATCCCTGGAAGAAAAGGAGAAAATAAAGTTCTACAAAAATATGCATCTACAAATACCAGTTTATTTTAAATGTCACTAACAACTGATACCTACCTGTTTTGCCGCCAAAACAATTTCTAGGCTATTTTTACATACCAAATTAGGATTTTATTAAAAGGCCTTTGCACACCATAAGACTAGTGGAATACCAGGAATTTTCTCTTCTCTCCCTATTACAGTAACTACTATATTTGCCTCTCATTTCAAAGTATTCATTGTTAGAATATAAAGTAAGTATTTTACAGAAATAGAAAATAAACATAACACAGACAGGGTGTAAGGGAAAAAAATATTTTCACTTCCCTTTTTACTAAAGAAAACTCTGACTATAACTTGGACTCGAATATATGGTACTCCAAGACACTGCCAAGTATACTACCTGAAGTCAAAAGCAAACAAGTTTAGAAAAATAGGTAACACAATAATTACAAAATATCCAGAAGTTCACTGCTTTTATAAAATAAACTTGTATCATATGGCAAATTTCAATTTAAAAATTTTAGGTAAATATTTTTAGCAAGTCCAATTTTAAAAAATACAAGGACAATTAATTACTAAGTATCAGTACATTTGAAGCCACTTTATTCAAGGTAAAATACAATGAAAGCAGAATGCTAAAATATCTCCTTTTTCCTTACATCTGTACAATGCTTTAAAGTTCAAAGTGCATTTATATATATTATTTATTTTCATTCTCAAAATGAAAAAAAAAAGCCCTATGCTAAAATCTGAGATGGTAGAAAACATCCCACCCCAGAATTCTACTTTCTGCTCCCAAAAAATTTTTTTACTTTTTTTTCTGAGGGTAAAAATAATTAATGCATAATCACAGCTGAAAATGCAAACAATACAGCAAAGTGTAAAAAAGTATAAAATTAAAATCATCCTAAATCTCACTCTCCCATTGGAGATGGATTCCTTGTAAAAATTATGAGAATTACAACACAACAACTGTTTATTTGCTCTGGGTTTCTCTGTGTGTCTATCTATGTGTACACACAAATACAGCTGAACCTTGAACAACACAAGTTTGAAATATGCAGATCCACTTATACATGGATCTTTTTCAATAACTAGTTTTTAGAGATTTGTAGAAATTTGAAAAAATATTTTCTTTAGCTGGCTTTATTATTGTAAGAATACAATATATAATATATATAACATACAAAGTATGTGCTAGCCAACTGTTTATGTTATCAGTGAGGTTTCCTGGCAACAATAGGCTTATTAGTACTTAAGTCTGGGGGGAGTCAAAAGTTATACCCAGGTTTTCAACTGTGCATGAGGCTAGCGCCTCTAAAGGGGTCAACCATATATTCTCATATACTGAAGACACAGAAATCTTCAAGATAACACTTCCCTGAACATAAAATTATATAAACTACCCCAAGTATTCATTCTGCTTCTGCATTTTCATTTAAGCAGCCCAGGTTTGAGTTTACTTATCATATATGTATATTGCTTGCTTCACTTTAAAAACAACCAAAACCTTCTGGCTAGAATATTCCAAAGCCTGAGAACACAGATATCTATAGCAAAGGCAGGTGACTGACATTTTTCAGAAGTAGCCCATCCATGGTCCTGAGCAAAACTGCAAAGTAGATGACATTTTTTCATGGCCTCCACCTCTCGGTTAGAAAGGACACCACAGCAGCAAAGAGGATATGAGAGGTCTACCAACCAGATGTGTGACTTGAGCATTTCACTCAACCTTCCTATGATTCATTTCAATTTTAAAATTTTGTAATTCTTCCCTTCCTCCCCATTCCACCACCATTTATTTGCTTTCAAGATATGTAAAAACCATCCTTTCTTCCTGTATCACTTGGATTCCCTGATTCAAAATAAACCCTTCCCTGGACTGACAAACTCCCACTTCGTCAGTGCACTTACTCCCCTCTACATATGAAAAATAAAAAAGTCTGATGAGATCAAAGATGTGTGCAAATTTTGATGAGGAGGGAGAGCAGCAACTCAGAAAAAAAATTTACGTAAGTTTACAGGTACAACTTTTTGAAGTTAAAAAGCCTTATGGGATCCATGGAAAAAATATACAATCTTACAACTTAAAGAACTGACTTTATTGACTTCAAGTCAGTAAATAAGAAAACTTGCAGTGTTTTTTGCTCCTAAAATATTCATACCTGTGCACATTTAAGACAGTAACATAGAAGCAGCTTTCTAATCTTTCCTTACATCTGTACAATGCTTTAAAGTTCAAAGTGCATTTATATACATTATTTATTTTCATTCTCAAAACAAGTAGATGCAGTGGTCACTACTGATTGCCTCTCTAACATCCATTTCCCCCATATTTTTCCTTGCCTCAATTTTCTTAAATATCCTCCCTCTACCACGTGGCTCAGGGAAATGACCCCAGCCCCAATGGCAGGAGATATTATCCTGATTAATAGAAACCAACCATGAGGATACTAGTCCCCTTGTCATAACTGGTTAGGAAGTGTACATGAACTAATTCTGGTCTATAAAACTTAAAGGGAAAACTATGCTAGTAGACTTGTGCAAAAGATTTTCTGGGCAATGCACATCTAAATGTGATCTTGCTACCAGACTGAGAATGAACCCAACATAGACAGGAAAGCAGAGCCAAGAAAATCAGAGGCAGAACAAAACTCTGAAGAACTAGCCCTATACCTCCATACTTCAGTGTTCCACTCTAGCAGCTACTGCATTTCAGGCTTTGTAATGTGGCAATACCAAGGTAAATAGTATATCCCATCTATCTCCCCTTCCCCAACCTGGACCTCCTCCTCCTATACCTAAAAGTTCTCCTTCATACTTGGGCTGAGCCAGCCTACATAGGAGAGAAGCTACTGGAAGCTATTAGACCAGCATGCTGTGCATGAAGCTCAAGAGCTCCTGGTACACATCAAGGGTATGGCATTTCCTCTTCCAAGGGACAATTTCCTCCACCAATTCACTCCAGCAGATCCTACTCAGGTTGAGGAGATAGTAGAATTTTAAAAAGACTCCTCGCCACCCCTGATGCTGTATAAAAGCTGAAAGGTAGAATAAGAAACCTGATGAGGGACCGTACCAGGAAATATGTGAAAACTCATAGACTGGTCACATGACTAGATTATTAAACAATTCTCCCTAAGGTATTATGCCTCTAAATTCAGGAATACCAGAACTTACTTCTTTTTTAATAGAGAATGCTGCTAAATGAATCTCTAAGAGATGGTATAAAATAGGTGACATTTTACAAACAGATACCCTCTTCCATATGTTAACTAACAACTAATAAGTTAGTTAAAAAATGGAATCATAAAAAAAGCTACATACCTTAAGAATTTCCTTGCAACTAAAATATAAAAATTTACGTTCATGAGGCAATCTTTTAATGCAAGGCCAAGGCCTTTTCTTCAAGTATGGGTCAGTGAATGGTAGTTCTATTTAATCTCCCTTGTAAAAACCACACCCATAGTACATCACCTGTGATTTCCAGTTTCTGTTTCTTAAACATAGAAAGACATCTCACAAACACTGAAAAGCAATCTTACTGCATAATCTTTCTAGATTTTTATTTTTTTCCTAACCATTTAAAGATATTTCACTCACACCTATTTCAAAAGTAATTGATTTTAGCTCCTCACCTGTTTTCAAAATAGCCACTGGTTCTCATATAAACACCTTTTTGCCTTCATAGTTCCTGAATGCTTCATTAAACTATGTAATTAAAACATCAAGTACAACTGCCATTAACAATTTGTTGAGTACAAACACAAATGATTCTTGGCAACTATGCAATAACTGGTGGGAATAAAAGTTCAAGAACAAACTACAGAGTAGTCTATTGCCATTCAGCATGGCATGAACACCAAGTAGTAAATGAATGAGAAGTATCACTTTTGGGTGGATTCAGCAAAGGTGAGTTAAGAGATTCTCCAGCAATAGGCTATTCCAGAGAGTCTTTGTTTATACTACCCACCAATCAACACTCTAACAACTCATATATAGCACCAGCTTGTGGATGTAAGAGATTTATACAGTGCCTACCATGTGCCAAGTATCACCTACTGGCACTTTATATGAATTTTCTACAACTTGACGAAGAGAATATTGGTGGAATAAGTCTCTTCCACCCTCCATTTTGTTTTTTGGATTTTTTTGCAAATGTAGCTATCAGCTAAAGAAAATGGTTCAAAACCAAATCAGCTAAGTAAATATAATAAATTTTAATACAGCTAAATGTCTGACAACACTTGAAAGAAGAAAGCATTAGAAATTTGTATTTAAAAAATAATATCTTGCATGAGATTTTACTACCAAATTCCAGTGAAAGCTATAAAAATGTAGACATGATTTAGCCATACATGGACATAACTACAGATTTTCATTAAATTAAAACTATGTGATACATCATTAGTAAAGAAAATGACCAAAATGTGTCTTACCTACCAAATATTCAAACACTTCAAGTTGATAGTTAAGAATTCTTTCTCCTAACTAAGATGATGGGCAGGAATGGGAGGACAGAATAGAATCAAACATTTAAGAACAAATAAACATAGTTTAAGAACAAATCACTATGTACTTTCCTTAGGTCCCATAGTAAGAGGAAGCCCAAGTATTTAAACTTTTTACATCTCAGCTTTGAG